CACAGCACCTGGTACACAGTAAGGGCTCAACAAATACTAGCTGCTATTGTTATTGTCATCGTCATGATTTCCAAGTGGTCATTTTCTCAAACCCTATCCACAGCAAAACCTGCTTGGCCATGTGGTCCTGGAGGAACCTCTTCCTCCTCCCATCCTGTCGGGTCCTAAGCCTCCTCCTCCCCACTGCCTTCCCAGACCAGTCTGTCCCCGGCCCAAGCCCTGGGGCCATCCATTAGCAGCATATGCTTTTGTTTGCACATGTTGCTTCCACGCACTACTCCCCGGCTGACTGGCTCGCTCCCTATAAACCAAGCAGAATCCTCCAAGGGTGTTCCCCTACCTCCCAGATTGAACCAGAAGCTCCTGGGCCTCTGGTGTGTTCCCCACAGTACCCTCCATGCCCACAGTAGGTCTCACTGAGTACACTGGGATGAACACTCTATCCATTCAGCCACCTTTCATCCTGGGTCCATGGCTGAATGTCAGGGAGACCCAGCTGGACCGCACCAAAAGCCAGCCCACCATGCCCCAGAGGCCCAGAAGGGGCCAAGCTGAGCATCAGAACACCTGGTCTAAGTCCTACCTTCCCTACAGACTCACTGAGTAACCTTCACCAACCCTTCCCTCCTCTGGGCCTGTTTCCTCGTCTGTGCAATGGAGTGGAGGCAAAGGAGGTCAGGGGAGCACTGAATGTGAAGAAAGGCCTACTAGAGCAGTTAGGAGGCCCTCCACCTTCTCAGGCCTGGAGAGCGCCACCCACCCTCTGTGCCACAGCCCCTCCTCTGCTCCACACCTGCCAGTGACAGTGGATTTCTCCCCACTGTATCTCCAGGAAAATAAATAGCCAGTCCAGATTCCTGGCAGATTGCCCTTAGAGTCAGAACAGACTTTTAAAGTGAAACCCTAACAACATGATTCTAAATTCATGGTCCCAGAAATTCCCTTTGCAAAAAGAACCAAAACATCAGCCATAAAACCAAAATAGTAGGCATGATCCATGGAGCGTTCTCTGCCCAAACCCAGGAGGGCGGCTGCCCCATGACGCACCCCCACAGGGCATTGTGCAGGCACTGGCCGTGGGGACCACCCCCACACATGTGCCTTGCCTCTCAAGCACCTGCATTTGCAAAGCCCCCCAGACTCAATGGGTACATGGACATGAGAGTTTAGAGGTAAAGCCATACAAGCCAGAGGGCTCAGGGTTCAACTAAAGAGGGATTTTCCTTCCTTTCCAATTAGACAGAAGGAATCTGTGGCATGTGCCAGGTCCTCCCAGGCTGGCTAATCAGGGCAGTTAGGAGGTACCTTCTCCACTCGGGGAATTCAGCAGTCAAGTGGGAAGTCGGTCGGAGGTGGGGAGGGACCTGTGTTGGGTCCCATATGTCCAGGGAGGCTCACAAAGGCTAAAAGTCACTGAGTTCATTTGAAAGAAGCTCCTCTGAGGCAAAAGTACCTGCTGATCATTTTGGCCCTATAGCCGTATCTTCATTTACTAGCAGCAGCAAGACAAAAAGACTGGGTGTAAATTACATCTGTTTTCAGACTACACCATTTTAACAGCTGCATAGTATTCCACTTAAGGATCACCATAAATTATTTAACCAATGCCCAAAGGTTGGACACTTAGGTTATGTAAACCTTTCCACCATCAGATAGAACTGCTTTGAACTATGCTGCCCAGGCATCTTTGCTTTCTCTTCTAATTAATAAAATCAGAAGCAAAGAATAGGCATCACAGTGAAAAATGTAACTGGGGGATGGAATTGCTTGGCTAAAGGTATATATATGTTTTTTTCACTACGATATACATTCTTCACTTCTAATCTTAACAGTTTCCTTAGATCCACATTTCTTTCTGTTGTCTGGCAAAGTGACTCCTTCAGGGAGAACAGAAAAATGGGCTAAGACTGTCCCTTTATAAGCAATACTACTACCACGCTCTTCCCCCCGTATCTACAATGTTAAGAAGACAGATGGGCCACCACCCAAACTAATCACTCCCCCACCGGTGTCCAGCATCAGCCATCTATCTAGCCACAGAAGACACTCTGAGAAGCACTGGCGATGTAAAACACTTAGGGTTTCAACATTCATCGGCTAAAAATATCTTCATAGATGCCACCTTGCTCTTGGAGCCACGCTAGGTGTTAGAGAGCCACACGTGATCATGGCCCGGGCCTGCTCTTGTGAGCCCTCAGCCTGGTAGAGGGACATGTCAGTGTCACTCTGGACTCTGCACAACGAAGTCAAAACTCTGGAGTGCTCTGGGAGCACGGGGGAACCCTGGCTGGGGAGGCTTCTCAGAGGAGGTGACACAGGAGGGCAAACAGCATGAGCTGACTATGCAGGCTCAGTGGGAGAGGGGACTCCAGGCAGAGGGTCAGAGTGGAGTGGCCACATGACAGCTCTAGAAAGCCCCCGGAGGTCCAGTGGGGCTGGAGCAGCAGACAGAGCCACGACTGGGGCTCACAAGGGGGCAGGGCCCGGGTCATGAAGAGCCAGCCTTGCACGCACACTAAGAAGCTTATGCATGGGGGGAGGGGTGGGCAGAGGGAGGATGAACCCAGGAGAGGGAGGGAGAACCAAGCAGGGACACCAGCCTGAAGGCGACAGTGTAAGCAGGCAAGCTCAGTGAAGAGCTGACAGGCAGGCGAGCTTCGGAGGGGACAAGAGGCATAGGCGAGGTAGTGACGCTGTGGGTGGGAGGGTGCAGTGCCCAGGATCTGGTGACTACATGCTAACAACTGGGATGGGGATCAGGTAAGGAAGGTGCCAGCAGTTCCAGAGGCCTGATGAATAGAGCCAGCAGAGGACTGTGGGAAAGGGGAAAGGTCACACAGTGCAGGCCACGGAGCAGCACGATGGGCCACAAACATGTAGAGTGTTCTAGAATCTAATGGATAACTTCCCCCACCCCCTGGGATTCCACTTTCTCCTCTACAAAGGAGCACATGGCGACCAGGTACAGAGGCCCCACCCAGCTGTAAAATGCTGTTAGTTCCTGTCTACACAGAAGCCAGACTGGCAACTGTCTCCCACAAGTTCACGGCAACAGGAGCCTCTTCCTGGGAAGAGGAGAAAGGTCATGTCCACAACCGCTTCTCCTATGGAGTCAGAACCCTCTTCCAACACTCCGCACACACGCCAGCAAGGACCCAGCCCTGCCGCCTGAGTGCCGGCTCTCCCACGCAAACACACAGCTCAGGGCCCGCACATCTGGCCACATGCTGCCTGCTTCTCTCTCCCACTCCTAGGTAATAAGGAGCAGACTGGCAAAATAGTTCAAATACCTTCTTAAAAAGTACACCGCCTTGCGGGCCCGGCAGCCTATTTTGAGTGCAATGTTTCAAACTCTAGGCTCAGACTCCAGAGCTGCTGTGGGCATCAGTGTTCACTCCAACTGAACCATCAGGAAGTCAGCAGAGGACGATGGCGTGTCCGCTGAATGCCAGGCTGGCATCAGGCACAGACACTAGGATGCCTGGATGTGTCCACAATCCAGGACTGCCTGCCGAGGGTGGCAGCTGGGCCGTGGTGACTGCATGCAGTCATGGCAGGTGTGAAGCAGGAGCCGGACCAGGAGCCAGAAAACACAAGCCAGCCCCATGGAGCATAAGGAACAGAGCAAGTGCCACCAAGGAGGTTTGGAAGGGCTGGCTGATGGCAGCAAGGTACACTGGGGCCAGTCTGTAAGGGCCCTGAATGCCACAACCAGTGTTGGCTACAGGGAGCCACTGAGGTTTGTCAGCAAAGCAGCAAGGTCAGTGAGAAGAATGGGGTGAAGAGGGGGTTAGTTTGATGCCCAGACCACATCAGGGGGACCAGCAGAGTGAGGAACAGCATGGCCTGAGCCAGGGCAGGGCTGAATGTGGGACCCCAGTTCCCTGCTCCATTTTCCCAGGACCACTGGTATTGCATTCTACAGACCCACCAGGAAGCACCTGTACTCAGAGTCACACAGCAGCATCAGAAAACTGCCAGTAATAACTCCCCACCTGCTTTTCCAGGTCCAGTTTCTGCTCTTGCGCTGAAAACACTCCCTGGGGAGAGCAAGCCCCTGGCCCCAGACCTCTGACAGCTGATCAAACACCAAAGCACACTGTGTACACTTGGCAGGGGAGGGATCGGGCAGTGAATATCCCACCCGCACACCCAGGCTTGCCAGCCAGCCTGCCTGAGCAACAGGCCCCGTTTGGTTCACTTCCTCCAGACACAGCGTTGCCCAGACGCTAGGGGACAATGTCCTCCTGACAGCCCCTGAAATCCCTCTGCCTCACTACTTCTGGAACCTAGGACATCTGCCCTCATTTCCCAGGTGCTTTCTCCCTGAACTTAACCACCATCCAAAAGCCTCTCCAAGATCCCTCACGCCCGGGTGGGTCTTCACTGGGGCAGCTCAGTTAGGCAGGGGCGTGGGAGAGCCATTTGTATCTCCAACTAACAGAGTCACTGAAGCCCCACGGGTGGCCAAGCCTCCCGAGGCCAGCTCCCATCCCCGGTGCAAAGCGCACCCCCAACAGGCATCAGGGGACGGGCATCCCCTCAAGCTGGGCGCTGCTCTTTAGTTTGTAGCACATCCCGTGGGGGAAGAAAAAAGGCAGGTGGGCGTTAAGGAGTCTCAAGGGAGGCGCGGGAGGTGGATGAGGTCAAAGTCAGACGGACCTGGTTTCCAATTCTATCGCCACCACTAGGTTTACTCGAACAAGCTGCAGGGCGTCTGTGAAATGGGTATACAAGTAAATTCCGCGTCCGGCTACGGGAATTCGGGGCGCTGTTAGTGTTAAGCATTAGCAGACTCTGCAGGAATCCAGGGTTTATGACACACGTCGTTACCGGGGCAGAAAGTTTCTAAGACGCGTGTCAGGCACACCAGCCCGAGCGCACTGCGGCGGCGGGGCCGGGACCGCGCCGGGGACCGCGCACCGAGGCGCCCAGGCCGGCGAGCGCCGCGCGCGGCGGCAGGTGGGCCCCGGGCCCGGGAAAGGGGCGGCGCGACCCACCTGAAGACGCGCAGCAGCAGGCAGGCGACGAGCAGGGCCGAGAAGGCGCACGCCACCACCACGGCCGCCTTCAGGGTGGGCAGGCCGCGGAGCAGGCGGGAGATGCGGGTCGCCAGGGCGTCGCCGGTGGCGTTGGAGGCGGCGCCGCCCGCAGCCCCAGCCCCCGTTCGGGTGGCGTTGCCGGGCACCGGGAGCCCGGGGTCGGGCTGCGGCGCGGCGGCGGCGGCCTCGGCTCTGCGGGCGCGGGTGGCGGGCGCGGCCAGGAGCGCGAGCAGCAGCAGCCGCAGGAGCGACGCGGGCGGCGGGGCGGCGCGCATGGCGCGAGCGGCGCGCGGCGGAGCACCGGCTGCCGCACCGACGCCGAGGCCTGAGCCCGGGGCTCCCGCGGCCGGGTGACTGCGCGGCGCTGGGCAGGAAACGGCGGCGCCCGGAAGAGCCCGCGCCGCCCCGCCGCCGCCGCCGCCGCCGCCGCCAACACGTTGCACCGAGTCATTCGACGGGCCGCGGCCCCGCGTGGGCGGGGCAGGCCACCGGGCCGTGTGCGGGCTGCGCTCGGCTCAGCCGCGGCCCCCGTTCTCCCGGGACCCCTCGACGCAGTACCAACAGCCACGCTCACTCCACCGCGCTGCAGAGTTCACCTTTTGTGTGTCTCTTTTAGTCCTTCAACTGCCTTAAGCGACAGGTACCTCTGTTCTCACTTAGAGTTGACTTAGGATACGGAGTGCCAGCTCACAGAAACCCAGATGGTGTCAGAACCAAGGACTATGGGACCTGGACGGAGACCCCCTCCTTTTCCTTTGCCCGATGCCGTATGCATTGCGTGTATTTCAGTATCTCCCCAGTTTCCCTCTTTCTCACAAAAAAAGTTGCTTATCTCGTGGCTTCAGTTTTTCAGGCCTTTTGCACCTCTGCTTAGGAACTGGATGGGGTGCGCGTTCTGCATTCACGCCTGTGCCCTGGAACAGCGTTAGGGCTGCTTACGTTTCCCCACCCCCAGGCTGAAGTTTCAGACCCCAGGTGGAATTGACCCGTGAATCAGGTTTGTGAGCTAAATGATTCTGAGGTGGAAAAGATAATTACAGAAGGTCTAGTATGAGGCCCAAAGGTGGGAACTGGTGGAGGGCACAGAGGGTTTTCCTTGAGCACCAGGACCTACACTGCCAGCCTCAGGTTCCACCTTTCACCCTGAGAATGGATCCTGGCAGGAAACTCTCCAGTGGGGGGTAAACACAGTGACAAGGGCTGAGTGACCTTAAACAGCTCACTTCTTGTCCTGCCAGAGAAAGAGACAAATAAGTAAGATAGTACCATGTATTAGTGAGCTATTTAACTGCCTAACAAATTATTACCCCAAAACTTTCAAGCTTAAAACAGCACGGGCATTATCTCACAGCTTGTGTGGGTCAGGAATCTGAGCATAGCTTAGCTGAGTCCTCTGCTTCAGGGTCTCAAAAGGATGCAATCAAGGTGTCAGCTGGAGGTAGGGTGTTCTCTGAAAGCCTGACTGAGGAAGGAACTGCTTCCAAGCTCAATCTGTGGTTGTTGGCCAGATTCAGCTCCTCACAGGGTGTTGAGCTTCAGTTCCCCAGTGGCTGTTGACCAGAGACTGCCCTAGGTCCCTTACCATGTGGGCCTTCCCAACATAACAGCTTGCCTCATCAAAATGTGCAAGTCTAGAAAGCAACAGAGAGAGTCTGCTGGCAAGGCAGAAGTCACTGTCTTATAAAACTTTATCATAGCAGTCACATGATAAGAAGTGATGACACCTTTTCTATATTCTGTTGGTTAAGAGGCAAGTCATAGATGTCGCGATGCTCAAGGAGAGGGGATTACACAAGGATGTGAGTGTCAGGAAGCAGGAATTATTTGGGCCGTCTAAGAAGATGCCTGCCCCTCTTTGTGAAGCATTTTGATAGAGTAAGATGAACAATAATCAGGTTATCAGCAGTTCTCACCCAGGAAGTACTATGTGAAGTGCACACTGAATATTCCAACATGCCCCAGTAGTGATAAATATGGACAGATCACATGGTTCAGTTCTCTGCCAGCTCTAAAATGCCGCTAGGTGGTATGTCAAAAATGTTGCTTTGATAGAAAGCCAGCATTATCCTATCAGCAGTATAGAATTTATGAAAGAAATTCCTTAAAGAACCCCCTCTGACGTCCATGATTTTACAGCACTCCCCTCTGAGGCACAAACCTCAGCGTCACAGGCTCATATCTTTGTCCTTATCAGAAATTCCTGCGTGGTAGAGCTAAGAGGTCTTGGGCCTTGAGACCTCTCAGCCCGGATGAGATGTTTGACCACTGAGTGGCCTTGGCCCAGGACTTAACCACAGAATCCAAGTTTTTTTAAATGTCTAAAATGAGAACAATAATACTTAGCTCCATAAGGTCACTGGAAGCATCTATAAAAAAGGAGGAAATATTAGTACCCTTGTCCTTCTTTTGTCACAAATCATGGACTGATGTAGACTTACTTGATTATTTAACACTGAGTTAACACCAAGAATGCAGAAAACATAAATGTTAGACTTTTTAGTAAAATGAAACTTTAGGATCTTTTGTTCTTCCTGATTTTTTGCTGTGCAAATCATTACTTATAAATTGCCCTTAATCAGAGTTCCTTAAACGTTTTGATTAAACCAGTCATAAACAATGACGTTTTTAACATGGAACACTGGGCAACAGGCAACAGAAACCAACTGGCTGATTTCAGGAAAAGGGAGTTTATTGGAAGCAGGTTGGGCTGCTTCTAGAATCACCTGTAAGCTAGAGCAGAAGTTCTGCAAGTGTGGTATGTGAACTCCTGGAGTCCCTGAGACCCTTTCAGGGAACCGTCAAAATCAAAACTAATTCCTTAGTAATGCTAAGATGTTATTTGACTTTTCCACTAAGTTAATATTTGCACTAATGGTGCACTAATGGGAGAAACTTCTAGAACCCCATGGTGATGAAAACTGATGGTGCCTTAGCATGAACCAAAACAAGCTATCCTCATAGTAATTGTATTCTTCACAACCATGCACTATAGGGGGAAAAACAAAAAGGGCCAGTTTTACTTAGAATATCCTTGATATAGCCATGAAATTATTAAATCATGGCCCTTAGGAAGAGAACATTTTAATATGATATGTGATGAAATGGGAAGTAGGAATAAATCACTTCTGCACACTGAAGCATGGTGACTGGCTTTCGAGCAAGCACATATGCAGTTCTTACAGGTGCAAAACTGAACTAGCCATTTTTTTCATGCAACACCATTTTTAATCAGAAGAGTACCCGACACACTTCAGACCTGGTCTATGGCAGGCACTTTCTTAAAAATGAACAAGATGAGTCTGTCACCTCAAGGATAACAACTGACAGTAGTATAGCCAGAGATAAAAGTCAAACCTTCAGGTGATCATTTGAATCTTTAGAAAGCTTGTCAGTTAGGCTGCTTCCTGCTTCCCAATACCTCAAGACTTTTCTGCTGAGCTTGGTCGTGGATACGAAAAAGACGTGGGGCATTTGATATTGTATAATGAAATATGTCAAAATTTGGAAGATCTGCGTAAATCGGCAAACCACTTTTCCCGAGTGGCCAACACACAATGTTACAAAATCATGCATGGGCAGAAGAGGCATTCCAAGTGCAAGACAAATGGATTTTGATGAGACAGTACAAAAATTCATTGATACGGTTTCAGATTTCACATGGCAATTAATCTTTAAGAAACTACTACTTGCAGGTTTGTGTATAGTATCGAGTAACATCCATACTATCTGAAAAGGTTATTAAAATTCTCCTCCCTTTTCTGACTGTGTATCTGCATAAAGCTGGATTTTCTCCAGTTCTTCAACCGAAACAACAAATCACAACAGATTGAATGCAAAAGCCCATAGGCAAATCCAGCTTTCTTCTATTAAGCGAGACATTAAAGAGATTTGCAAAAACTGGTTAACAATGCCGCTCTTTCCAACTTTTTTGAGAAAATACAGTTATTTTTCATAACAATGTAATTGATGTTAACAAGTTAATGGATTTGTTAGTTGGTTTTAAATGAATTAATGAGTATTTTCAAGTTTTCTCCATTTTAAATGTCTAATTCCATATAGATCAATAGGTTTAACCCACATAAACAAAAGCTCTTTGAGGGCCTTCCTCTTTCTTAGGACTGGAAATCTGAAGAGACCAGAAAGTTCCTGAGACTAAAAAGTTGTTGGAGAAATGCTGACCTTAGAATCAGGCTTCAGTTGGGTGGGGGTGGCAAGGAGAGGGGTACCTGGGGGAGGGGCCGGGGAAGGGGGGCCCCAGATAGAGGAAGCAAATCAATTAGGATATTTTCTGCTATGGGAAACAGAAAACCCAGCCTGAACTGACTTGGAAAGGAAGTGTCTTCTCTCACATAAAGAAGTCCCAAGTGGAGAGGCTCCAGGTGGCACTTTCCTGAAGGGCACCCCTGGCAAAGGGGAGGAGAAGAGGCCCAACTTGAGAAACCCAGGGGCACAACCCTACAGGGTCTCAGCCAACCTCTCATTTGTCCTTATCATGTCAGCAGAGCTCATGTCACCTAGAATCTTCTTACCACAGCAACAGATACTTTTTATGCTCCTGTTATGGGCTGGGCACCACAAGAAAGGGAGCCACAGGTGACATGTGGCCTCTGGCCTTAATGAAAGCCGCTCTTATTGGACACTGATCTAATCACTAGTAAATAAAGTTCCCAGACCCAGGAGAAAAGGGTCAGGGAGAGCAGATAATAGGTGCTGAGTGTTCTACACAGTCATGGCTAAAGTTATCCAGACAGGGAACCAGTGTTGGCTGAGTGCCCACCGTGTGCCAGGCTCGCCTTGCATAGATCATCTCCTTAATCCTCACAGCAACCCCGTGGTTTGTGGCCTCCCTGGTGGATGAAGGCCTGAGGAGTCTCACAACTGCCTGAGGTTACACGTATCCCAAAGGACAAAGCCAGATCCCAGCCCTCAGTCCATCTCCTAATCAAGGCTGAGCCCCCCTCCAGATGGTCTGCTACTTGATTAGAAATGTTCTGTGAGCCTGTATGGTGCTGTGAATATCAGAGTACATTTAGAAGAGCAATGCTGGCTTAGTGGGAGAAACTTCTAGAACCCCATTCAAAACCCCTTCTGCACAAGCCTCTGTTACTGGTATAAAACATACTCCTGGCATACCAGTAAATGTTATGTTCAAATCAAATTCGAAAATGGTCTCCTTTATATACAACTGTTGTCATCCATATAATAAAGAGACTGTACTTCTCTCACTTTCAAGTCCTTGCACCATTTCCTCCAGTCTTGAAGAATAGAAAATAAAAGAGGGCTAACTCAGCCCAGCCTATTTCAGGAGCATAACCAGCCCCCGGCATGGAGGGGAGCTGCAGGACTTGCCATTTTAAAGTCAGGCTAGCCCCAGCCAGACCGGGAGAGTCGGCCACCTCGCCTGCCC